CCAGCCAGCACAGCCGGGGGCCGTTCGGGTGCCAGAGCTTGTTCCCTGCTGCTATCAGTGTGCGCAGGGGCCGGGACCCGCCTGGCAAAGGTTGCCGGAGGCTCTCACCTCGGTGTCTGTGTCCCCAGAGTCAGATCTCGGTGCTGCAGAACCGCATTGAGCAGCTGGAGCAGCTGCTGGAGGAGAACCACGAGATCATCAGCCACATCAAGGACTCGGTGCTGGAGCTGACGGCCCACACAGAGGGGCAGCCGGCGCTGCCCCACCACACTCCCAATGGCTCCTGGGTGCTGCCCCCTGAGAGTCGCCCGAGCTTCCTCTCCGTCTCCCCACAGGACTGCCAGTTCGCCCTGGGGGGAAGGGGCCAGAGCCCAGACCTGCAGGTGAGGGGCTGGTGTCTCAGCCTAGCGGGTCAGGGCCCATCTCTGCTAGCACAAGGGGGTCCATTCCCAGCCCTACTCTGTTGGGGGTCTCTCAGTCCGGTGTCTGCCCTCTGAGTCCTGTCTCCCACCCGGCAGATGCTGGCAGTGTATTCCCTGCTGCCCTTTGACAACCAGGATGGAGGCGTGTGGAAGCAGGGCTTCGATATCACCTATGAGCCTAATGAGTGGGACACTGAGCCCCTGCAGGTGTTTGTGGTGCCACACTCCCACAATGACCCGGGTGAGCCGCAGGCGAAGGTGGGCAGGGGAGGGGAAGGGCTCCCCCAGCCCCTGCCGCCCCACACTGCTGGCGGGGAAGGGCTTGGCCCTGTGTAGCGACCCCCACGTGTGCTGGCAGGCTGGATCAAGACCTTCGACAAGTACTACTACGACCAGACGCAGCACATCCTCAACAGCATGGTGCTGAAGATGCAGGAGGACCCGCGCCGGCGCTTCATCTGGTCCGAGATCTCCTTCTTTTCCAAGTGGTGGGACAACATTAGTGCCCAGAAGCGGGCTGCGGTGCGGAGGTAGGGCTGCGTGCCTGGCCCTGCTGCTTGGCACGGTCCCTGCCCGGAGGCAGGGTGCTGTGGGAGGCACCGGCTGTGAGCACGGGGTGCGTGAGGGAAGGGTCCTGAGGAGACAAAGGCTGCCCTGGCTGCAGTGCGGTGTCCGTGGGTTCTGCACTGCTCACTGTGGGGTGCCCTGGCACTGCCAGCGACTTCTCAGCGCCATGAGATGTGAAAACCACAGCAATGCAGGTTAGATCTGAGGTGCTGCCAGCACCAGGGCCTCCACAGCGGGGGGCCTGAGGGGCTGGGGGAGGCAGGTTTCACCCTGCGCCACTCCCTGTGCTCTCGGAGCTGGGAATCTCCTCCTTTTCACTGTAACCCCAGGCACTGCCACAAAGCCTGGGCAGTGCCAGTGCCTTGCAAGGCCCAAGGCACCCTCAGCGGGGTGGGACACCTGGAGAGCAGGACTGTGGGGATGGGAGAGGTCCCCCTTGTCAGCCCCCCACCCCCAGGAGGGCTGGGGGTGAAGGACAGAGGGGGCATGGGCTGCAGGACACAGTGGAGGGCATTGCCCTGTGTGGGGATGTGCTCTGGTTAGGGCCTCAGCCAGCGTGGTGCTGTGGAGGGATGTCTGTCCCTGTGGGGACGGTGTGGGCTGCGGGGCACAGCAGCGGGTGGTTGTGGAGGCTGCGGGTGGGACCCAGGTGGCCCCAAGGCAGGTGGAGGCTCTGCCATGGACACAGCTCACCACAGGGCTTTGCCTGGAGCTGATTGATCACATCTTGCATGTGCCCCTTGCAGGCTGGTTGGCAACGGGCAGCTGGAGATGGTGACGGGTGGCTGGGTGATGCCTGATGAGGCCAATTCCCACTACTTTGCCATGATTGACCAGCTGATCGAGGGGCACCAGTGGCTGGAGAAGAACATCGGTGAGAGCTGGGTGGGATGCTGAGCAGGAGGGGCAGGGTGCTGGCTGGGGGCCTGCTTGATGTACCGGCAGGCACCTCCATCCCTGGC